TTCTTCTTCTTCTTTTTTTTTTTTTTTTGAGACAGGGTCTTGCTCTGTAGTCCAGGCTGACCTTGAACCTTCAGCAATCTTCCTGCTTCAGCCTCCCAAGCGCTGGGACTACAGGTGTGCACCACTATGCCTGGTGTATTAATGTCCTTCTTAAAGGGGCTCCACACACTGGGTCCTTTGTCCTTCCTCGGGCTTTCCATGTGAGAATACCACAGCAAGAAGCCGTCTTGGAAGCGGAGACGGGACCCTCACCAGCCAGACACCCTGCCAATGCCTTGGTTTGGGCTTCTGGTCCTCTGTAACTGTGAGCCATGCCTTATGCTGCCTGCAGAGTGCCCAGTGTAAGGCATTGCGGTAGAGCGGCGCAAATGTACTAAGACAAATGAACACATTTTTCCACGAGTTTAAAAAGACAGTTCTTTTTCCGCTGAGTAGTTTTTGTAGCTTTGCCAAAAACCAGCTGACCATACTCATGTGGGACTGTTTTCTTCACCCTGTTGCAATCCCTTTGCCAGTGCTACCTATCAATATCTGTAATTAATTTAGCTTTATAAATCTCAATACAAGTAATAGGGCTCCCCCAACTTTATTAATCTCGGATAGTTTTAGCCCTTCTAAATCCTTTGTTTTTTGGGGGCTGGGGATTTAGCTCAGTGGCACAGCGCCTGCCTGGCACATGCAAGGTCATGAGTTCGATTCCCAGTACCGGAAAAAAAACAAAACAAAATAAATCTTTTGTTTTTCTATGTGAGTTTTAGAATCAATGTGTTTCTATCTGGTGGAATTTTGATCGATACTGTATCAAATGCAAATCAAATTGGGGAGAACTGACATCTTCATATGTTGGGTCTTTCAATCCACAAACACTGCATCTCCATTCGCTTAGGACTTGTTTAAATTACTTCACTACAACTTTGTAGAATATAGAATACAGATTCTGCATGTGTTTCATTAATATTTAACTTTCTTTGAAGGAATTTTGGTTGGTTTTGATGCTCAAACTTCATCTAAATTTATGCACATAAGGTTGTTCATAGTATTTTCTTATTAATACTTTAACTTCTGCAAGTTCTGTAGTAGTACCTCACTTTTTTCATGATACACGTAAATTTTGTGTTTAATATGTTAGAGTTATCCATTTTATTGATCTCACCTATTATATGTGTATTAAATTTCTTTGATTTCTGCTTTTAAAATTCTTTCTTTCCCTTAAGTTTATTTTCCTTTTCCTTTTCAGTTTTTTAAAGTAGGAGCTTAGGTGATCATTTTCAGACTTTTCTTGTTTTTGAATGTTAGCATTTAATACTATAAATTTACCCCCAAGTACTTCTTTTCAAAAGTATACCACTTTTCTCATATGTTATATATTCTTGCTGGGGATGTAGCTCAGTGGCACAAATGCCTGCTTGGCAAGCGAAAGGTCCTGAGTTCAATTCCTGGTACCAAAAAAAAAAAAAAAAAGTTATATATTCTTTTGTCTGTTTTGAGACTGGTATTTTGTAATGGACACAAACTCATTATGTAACTCAGGCTGTGTCAAACTAAAAATCTTCCTGCCTCGGTTTCCCCACTGTTAGGGTTATAGATGTGTGCTACCACATCTGGCTGTTGTATATTCTTTTTTGGTCAGCTAATATATTTTTTTGTTTCACTTGAAACTTCCTACTTGACCTCTGGATTATTTATAAATGTGTTAATTATCAAGTACTCAGAGATTTTCAGCTTAATTTCATTATGGTCAAAGGACATAGTTTATATGGGTCCAATTTTTTTTTTTTTTGGTCTTTTTTGAGACAGGGTCTTACTATACAGTTCAGGATGGCCTTGAACTCACTTTGTAGCCCAGGCTGGCCTCAAACTCACAGTGCTCCTCCTGCCTCAGCCTCCTGAGTGCTGGGATTACAGGTGTGTGCCACCGTGCCCAGCTGGTCTAATCTTTTGAATTTGTGAAGGTGCACTTTATGATGCCAGATATAGTCTATCTTGGTTCCTTTTCTCTCAGAAGAGAGAAAGGTGGCTGGAATGAACTGTGGCCATCAAGTGGGTAGTAATACCTAGATGAAGACCACAGTCTTTTACAGAAATGCAAAGATGTCTGAGTCATCTGACAGTTTCACAGAAGACAATTTTTCCACAGATGGGGAGAAGGATACCTTCAGGATGATTCAAGGACATTATATTTATTGTCCCCTTTCTTTTATTATTACATTATGCACTGTATTTCTATTATTATTACATTAGATTCTCACAAGGCACATGCAACCCAGATCCCTCACACATGCAGTTCGCAGTAAAGTTTGCAATCTTATGAGAGTCTGATGTACCAGATGGAATCTGACAGGAGGTGGAGCTTCTGCTATAATGCTATCCATTGGGAGAAGCAGTAAATACAGATAAAGCTTGGCCTACCCCCCTGCCGCCCCCTGCTGAGCAGCCTGGTTCCTAACAGGCCACAGGCCAGTATTGGAACTACTCTCACCTTGTGGCCTGGGTACATGCGAGCTACAGGATGGGACAGAGTAGTTTTCATCTATGAATATAACCTCATTTTGGCTTGTTTCTCCAAAAGCTGCCACCGCTCAGTTCAGACACGGTCTGCTTCCTTCATGATATCAGATATCATCAAGAAGTTTTGTTTCTTCAGTTCCTAAAAGGTTGGCTTAGGGCAGCTTTATTCATGGGGCTTTCTTGAGCTCTTCCACCATGCTGATTCTGCACAAATGTGGGATGAAGCTGATCTCAACAGGTTTGCCTTTGGAGGGTGTGTGACCTTGTGACCTTCTGTGCCCAGATGTCCCCCAAAGCCTCATGTGGTCATAGGTGGGGCTTTTTGGAGGTGGCTGGATCTGGAGTGTGCAATGCTAGGGTCGAGGACAGTAGGGTTAAGGGTGTAAGTGCTACCTGCCCTGAGTAGCTTGGGTAGTGCTACCTGCCCTGAGTAGCTTGGGTAGAAAGATGCCCTTAAGGTCCCTTCTTCGTTTTGTTGCCTTCTGCCCACCATGAACTGTTTCTCCTGCGCCACTCTGCCTTTGGAGCAGCCAACTATTGACTGAAACCTCTACAAACTGTGAGCTAAATAAACTTTTCCCCCCTTTAACTTTGGGTGTTGGGTATTGTGCCTCAAGAATGAGCAACTAACTAAGACACCACCTGTGAAATGTTTCTTCATCCCTGACAGCGCTTTCTGTGATTTCAGTGAGATTTCAGTGTGATTTCATAACAGTCTGCATGGCCAAGTAGAACTCACTGGTGGAGAGTTCGGTGCAGTCAAATCAATTCTATTATTGTAGAACTCGAATCCAGTTTTATAAATCCAGCCAGTGCCACCACCAGCAGCATCTTATGGTGGAGCTCTGGAGCACTTTTCACGTCTAAACTCACGTCCAGCTCATTGTGACAGGCGATGAAAGGCTTGGCCTCAGCTATCCCTGTGGATGATGTTCCACATTTTGGTGTCTAGAAATCTGTACTCATCCAAGAAACTTTTTACACATGTGATGATACTAGTATGGATAATTTTTTTCCTTAGAACATTCAGGATCAAGTTCAAGTGCTTCCCATGACGTTTAGCATCTGTGTTTTAGCATCTGTGAGACTAAAGTTCAGGATTTTCTTGAATCCAATTATGTCTTCCTGTTGCAGTCTGTTATTTGACAGGGCTAAATCCTTGCGACAGCTCCTTCTATTGGCAGTAACTTGCAATTTGACCCCAATCCTTAAAGGTCACACAAGAAAGAACCTTCCAGGTAGTCTTTGTCGGGTGGCTCCGGACTGCAGGCGACTGCATTCACGGGTGAAGCCCGAGAGCTTGGTGTCTGTCCCCGGAAGCTGCATGGCAGAGGGACTGCAGATCAAGCAGTCTCCACCGCGGTCCAACGTCAGTGGTGTGGCCTGCTGCAGCAGCACCCACTCCTGGCTTCGCTGTCTCATGAGCCCTGGCTTGAAGGTTTTCTTATCTTTTGCTCATTCTTGTTAGTTTGGGCCCCACCCCACCCTCCTCTTTGCCCTCAGCCAGGTGCCTGTGGCTTCCACCCAGCTAGTGTAGGTAAAAGCAGGTTTCCCCCCGCATTTCCGGTCCGCGGGTAAAACCCCTCCCCAAGGGGAGGGCGGGCGCGTGCTACACTGGGCTGGTGCTGCGCAGGCGCAGTGCTGACCAAATGGCCACGAGTCTGACGTGCGCCTGCGCACTGCGCTCTGGGCGCGCTGCTGGGCCCTGGGCGGCTGCAAAATCTCCCGCCCCGCCGCGACTCCGGGAGCGCAGCCCCAGGCCTGCGGTGTTCGAAGGCATCATTCAGCCTTCCAGCCGACTGAGCCGCATCACCCCGTGAGCAGGGCGTCCCTTCCTGTCGTCGGCCTCGGGCACGCGGTGCGGAGACCCGGATGGCAGCCGCCCCACCCCGCGCCGGCAGCTCACCGTCTTCTCGTTGTCCTCGAAGACCTCCCGGGCCTCCTCGTAGGAGCAGGCCTCCTCCAGACACTCCCTCTCGAGGTTGCCTTTCTTCAGCTCCTCGAAGACTGTGTTGGCCCTGCGGGACCTCAGGACGCTGTGCGCGCGCTCGCGGCCGGAGAACACTGCGGACGGGAAGGGCGCAGGCGGATGTGGGGCGCCCCCAGGTCCCCCAGATCTCCAAGTGCCGCGCGCCTCCCTGGGAGGTCTGGACCGCAGGCGCTGGGGCCAGCCCTCCACACCCCGGGCCCCCACCCCTGCGCCGCCCTGCGCCCCCAGCAGTAAACCTGCAATTTGTATCAGTCCCAGGAGACGCAGAGTTAGATAACTGTCAAGAAATTGCACTTATTTTCTACAAAACCGCAAACTTCTCTATTTAGATTTTATCTTCTTTCATTAAAGAAGGACACTGATTTCATGACTCTTGCGAGGAGTGATCCACCGCGAGGCTGGAAGGACCACGTTGCCTCGCGCGCTCCCTCAACCCGCCCTGGGCCTGCTCCGTGCTCACAGCCTGGAGGGTGTGCTGGGTTTCCTGCGCTGCCTGGAGCTGCGGTGAGGCTCACCGTTCTGATAGGCGCTCTCTGCCTCTGATGCCCAGCAGCTCTTCAGGCCCTCCCCCTTTCCCTCCTGATCTCCCCCAATCCGTGCCTCTTTCTGCCTGCACCCCAAAGCCTGCTTAGCCTTTCTGCCTGGTGGAGGTACAGCGTTCCTGCAAGTCCACCTCTGCTGGACTCAGTGGGGACAGGGACACAGGGAAGGGGCACTGCATGGAAGAGGAGGAGGCCTAAGGACACCAAGAGCCTGCCACCAGCTGCAACGCATCCCAGCTGTGGATGAGGACCCACAGGCTGTCCCCAAGGCCAGGCCTCTTGGATCTCTTCCCACAGCCATCCCTGCACTCGTCTCTGCCAGCCTGGCCCACCTGCTGATGGGGCTGTGCCTAGAACTCTTGTGCCTCAGGGCGTCTCTGCCTGCCACTGAGGTGAGGCCTGGACAGCCGGCTTGGCCTCCGGCTCAGGCCTGGACCCAACTTTGGGCACTGTTAGCAGCTTTGCGGTCATATTCACCCCCCGATCAGTCACACAAGCCAGCTGTGGCCCTTAAGCAACGCTTTCTCCTTGAGTGGAAGCAAGGAAGGCCATTGGGCACAAGAACAGGCTCTGGGGTGACACAGGCCTCAGAAGTTGACAGCAGACTCAGAGCCCTGGTGCTCACGTGGGGTTCCCAGGTGTTCACCATGTATCCTGCATGTGTATGAGGACGTTGTGGTCCTCAGACGTGCAGCTGTCTGTGTGCCGTGGGGAGTGGGCACGGCGATCAAACGGGCGGAACCTGCTGAGGCAGAGTTTGCCAGCCGTTCCCAGCACACGGGGTGGGAGTTCAGTGGGTCTAGGCCCATTGTGGGACTGCGCAGAACACGCTGCCTGAGCTGCACCTGCTCTGAGTTTATTCACTCCTCTCTCTGCAGCCCGGGGCCCGGGCAGCCAGAGGCCCCGTCTGTGCAGACGTGTGCCTCAGGCCCCTGCCCTGGCCGCGCTGGCCTGGAGTGCTGCCCGGGCTACAGCCCTGCCACCCGAGCCGCTGTCTCTGCCTCTCTGGGTCGTCACCGTCTCCTCCCAGCCTGGCCCCTGTCTCGCCCTCCTGCCTCTACTGTTTTCATCCCCTTGTGACTTGGAGCCACCCATCCTGCTTTCCCTGTGGGAGCTGTGCTGACCCTCACTGTCCCCTCGGTGGGGAGGCCCAGCCAGGCCATCCGGTGCCAGCCTGCTACCCGGGACAGGGCCTCTGCCACCCTTGCCCCTCCTCCTGGCCCCTGTGTGTGAAGGGCAGGGCACTCACCGCTCCCCCCGGGCAGCAGGAGGCCGGCCAGGGCACCCAGGAGCAGGGCGAGGCGCAGCAGACCCTCCATGGTGGTGAGGGCAGTGCTCTGTCCGGAGTGCCGGCGTGTGGGGGCAAGGTCCACTCGCCAGGGCCCCTGGTGGCCATTGTCCTGCTTATCTCAGCCTCCTGATTGGAGCCTGGCCTGCCTTGAGGTCAGTGCGGGGGTCTGGGGATGGTGGCAGAGTGGGCGGCTGGGGCAGTCACCGCTGACCTCATCCCCATTGAAACTGCCCTGCAGGGTGTGCTGGGGAATACGGGAGGGCTGTTCTGAGAGAATAACAGTGTTGTTGCAGGCTTGCCCTGCAGCTTTCAGATGTTTGTGTCTGGCTTTTCTCAGCTTGACAGCTGTGGGGAAAGCACCACTTCCCATCAGTTTTCACAAACAGAACCCGGCTCATGGGGCCCTGGGGCTGGCACAGGTCTCAGCCCTGCCAGCCCTGGCTGACAGATGCATGTGGAGTGGTGGGCCAGGTGCCTGACTTGGGCTGCCGGTCACTCGTGTCAGCAGGCTGAGCTGTCGGGGATGAGCAAGGGACATAGTGACATCACATCCTGCTTATGTGATGGAAGGACAGGTCATAGGGAAGAGAAGGTGGAAGCTGCGCCGGCCACTCGGGCTGGGCAGGAAGCAGGGGGAGCCCGGGACCTGTGTTCAGCTGTGCCTCCTGTGTGCGACATATGGGTCTCACTTCCTTCTGGTTCTTTCTGTGAACACCTCCAAGCTGGATTCTGCCAAGGCCGTCCCTGGGGGTGGAGGGCAGGAAGGGTCTGTGATGGGGAAATGGAGCCGGCGTGTCTGTCAGCGCTGCTGGGTGTGTGCCCTCCATTGGAGGGTGCAGGTCCCACAGCGTCTCACGGTGGTGGGTGAGTCTGCAGGGGGCATGGCTGGGACCACTCCAGGGTCTCTGGTCGTCGCCCCACTTCCTCAGGCGGTGTGACGGTGGGCTGGGGGTCACAGCTGACCCGGTCCTCTTCAGAAGCTACACCCACAGGAGCTCTGGACACGAGTTTGTTTCTGGGGCAAAGCCCCTGATCCCCACCTTCTCTCGCCCCGCTGATGCCCCACGTGCACCCTGCATTGGGTCAGACTGGTTATTCTTTGTCGTGGTGGTGCCTGGCACAGCGCTTGCTCCATCAACACCACAGGCAGGGTGTTGGGGCTGGTGTCTCACGTGGGCAGCACCACACTCGGGGCACAGCCAGCGCCTGGACCTGGGAAAGAGCACGTTGGTGCTTGGCACCTGGTGCTGTTCTGGGCCTGGTCCGGATACAGAGACCGAGTGTGTGTGGGTGAGTACACAGCCTGGCCCGAGGTGGGGCGGCGGTGCTGGCTCTGGGGCCCCCTGCCCGGTCTCCTGGCCCGATACCCGGGTGCACTGACCAAAGCGAGCACATTAGCTGTTAGGGTCGGCATTGCGTGCCCACAGCCCTGTGAGGCAGGTGCCCGCACTCCATCGGTGACTGGGGAAACTGAGGCTGCCCAGTGCTACTCACAGCGCCCGCCAAGCCGCCCCTTCTCTCTCCCCACAGGGGCCTCCAGCCTGGGGCCTGAGGCTCCTCCTCCCCTCCTTCCTCCCAGGAGGAGCGTGTATTTTCGAATGGGCTTTCCTGCCCTTGCCCCGCCCCCATGACCCCATCTTCAGCACAGCTGGGAGGTGAGGAGCCAGAGGCACAGTGACCCGTGCAAGAGCAGAGGCCAGGAGGCCCGCTCGCTGCACACGGCCCGGGAGGCTGTTAGGCTTGAGGCTGGCCAGGGCCCCTCCCTGCTGTGGCCTCCAGCACGCCTGGCTTTGGCAGCCACATGGCCTCTGTGGCCAGCAGGCCCTGTCCCATCCACCCCAGGACCACTGAACAGAGGGTGGACCCAGCAGAGCCTCCAGTGCTAACCAGGCAGCTGCGTGGGGGTTGTGGCCACAGCTTGCAGCCTTCGGCCTACTCTATGGCAGGAGTTGCCAGACGGCACCACAGCGGCTGGCACCCCACTGGGCGTCAGCACCCCAGGCTCTGAGACGCCCTGTGGAGATGGGTGCTGAGGGCGGGGTGCTCGTCCTGCTCCGGATCTCTGTTCTCCCCCATCTACACTGTCTGGAGGCCACAGGCTCAGTGACCTGTGGACATGGCAAGAGTGGGGCTCACTAGGTCCTTCCCTACCTGGTCCAGTTGACTGGGCAGGACCCAGGACCCTGCTCTTGTGTATGTGAGTGTGGAGAGGCAGGTACTGGGATTAAACTCAGGGCCTCTATGCTGAGCTGCATCCTTACCCCTTTTTTGTGAGACAAGGTCTTGCTGAGTTGTTGGGGCTGGGCTGGAACTTGGGATCCTCTTGCCTCAGCCTCCCAGAGTGCTGGGATTATAATTGTGTGTCATCACACCTGGTTCAGACCCTGCAGTGCTTCCCTGGTGATTTATAAGCAGATGCTCCCCAGGCCCCTCAGAAATACCACTGGAAGGGTTTGGGAGGGAAGCCACCTCACACCATCCTGCCTCACAGCTGGAACCATCACAGAGCTCCGGGGCTCTGGAAGTGCCTGCCCAGGAGGGATCCATCACCAGGGTGTCCTGGGGGGGTCACAGGCCACCCAGGGACAGCGTCAGCCCAGGGCACACAGACTCAGCCATTTACTGCCAGGCGCTCGGCAGGCCTGAGAAGAGGATGTTCCCCGACTGTGGATGACACTTCCGTTTAATGGAGCCGAGGGTGAGGCGAGTACAGGAAGGAAAGGGGAGCGACAGCCCCTGCGGCGCGCAGTGTCTGCGCATGCGCCTGCATGCCTCAGCTGGGCCGTGGCCGCCTGGGGCTCCTCTTCGGTCTCTCACTCCGTCTCCATGTTGGTCAGAGTCTCTCCCTCCATCTCTGTCTCTTTCTCCCTCTCGGCTGCCCGCAGTGCCCGGGTCTCTGCCCCAGCCACAGACGCACTCAGGGACCTGGCGCAGGGCTAGAGGAGCGGGGCCCGCAGGACGCCTCGCACCGGCGGGGAGCCCATGAGCCTGCGCAGCCACTCGATGTACCTGGCCACCCTGGTGTAGATGCCTGGCTGGCCCACGGCTGCGCAGCCCTCGCCCCAGCTCACCACGCCGGTCAGGTACCACGTGCCACGGAACTGGGTGGCGTGTGGGCCCCCGCTGTCCCCTTTGCAGGCGTCCTTGCTGCCGTCCAAGTAGCCGGCGCAGAACATGTTTTTGGTGATTGCGGGTGAGCTGTTCCTCCACTGAGACTGCTCCAGGCAGTCCTGGTTCATCAGCCGCGGCACTTCGATGGCCATGAGCTCCAGGGCCTTGGCGCCCCGGTCCAGCAGCTGGCCCCAGCCGCTGACTCGGGAGAAGCGGATTTTGGCCAGCGTGCGCTTGGAGAAGCTCGTGTCCGGCAGGCAGAGGGGCACCACGTAGTCTGTGAGGTTCACAGGCTGCTGCAGCCGCAACAGCACGATGTCGTGGTCGATATGGCCACGGACGTATGTGTCCGGGAAGATGACCTGTGTCACCTTTCGCACCTGCTCAGTCCCATCAACCTCGCTGATGTCGTGCTCACCTGGGAGGAAGCCACGCCTGTCACAGCCACGCCCCTTCAGAGCCTGGCTTCCCGCACCCTGGCCTGGGCGGGCAGATGGATGGGGCAGGAGCTGCACCTGTGAGGCACCACGGAACTGCCAGGGCTGCAGCTCTTGTGGGGTGTGGGGAGGTGTAATGGAGTGCTTCTGGACTGGGTGTGGAAGGTGGTAATGAAGCGGGAGCCCTGGGCAGCAGGTGTAGAAGAAGAGGCTGTCTGGACTCCCCGGATGCGTGCCAGGTGGCTGCAGCCATCTCTCCTATGTCCTCACTGGGCAGAGGACCCCGTGTGGTCCCCCAGAGCTCTGGGTCCCCTGCTCCCATGGTTCTTCTGGGAGCAGGGAGGGGCCAAGCAGGTGACCGAAGCAGGTGGCTCCAGCAGGTGGCCCCGGTGCTGCCTCATCCACCCAGGGACCCTGGGGATCGCATCTCCTGGAGCCTGGCCCCAGCCACTGTCACTCAAGCCTGCCCCCCTGCGAACAACAGGCAGCACCTACCCAGCACCACCGACAGGTTCCTCAAGCTGGGCAGCTTGTCAAAGCAGTGGGCGGCAGACACTACCCAGCCGGCCTCCAGCAGGGAGCCCCCGCAGAGCAGCGCCCCATTGGACACCAGCATGGCCTGTGTGGGGACACACAGATGCTGGTCACATGGTGTCCCCACCTGGACTGCTGGCTGATATGATTCCCGTCTGGAACCTGGATCCTCTGTACCCTTCCCTAGCAGGCTGCACAGACCCGGCCCTGGTGGCTGTCCCCTGGACCAGAGCGTCCCCAGCCCTGGCAGGACACCAGCTCTGCAGGACCCTTGGTGACTGAGTGAGGCGGCGGCTGAGTGGAACTGCAGTGCGCACCCTCTCCAAGCGAGGAGGAGCTGGGCTGGGCACAGTGGCCGTGTCTCTTCTCTGTCACAGTCCCTGAGTCCCCACCAGGCCTGCAGTGGGAATCCTGTGCAGGAGAACCCAGCTGGAGACCCTGGAGGCCTTACCTGCCATGGACACTCCCCTTTGGGGCACTCCCGGCCTCCCACAATTCGGCCTTGGATGTTGCTGTTCTTTCTTTTTTCCAGAATCGGTATTTTCCCACACGGATATTCAACTGTACAACAGAGCCCAGAGAGGGGGGTATCTATGAGGGATGAGGTTTGGCTGAGCCACACCTTCCCCCGGGTCCTGGCTGCTGGGGCAGGGCCAGCCTGAAGGCCTCAGTGGGAGCTGTTGGCCTAGGAGCCCAGAGGGGCTGGTGAAGAGGGTACTGAGCCCTGCCCTGGCGCTGCTCCTGCCCACTTTCCACAGGAGGAAGATGCATCATGTGGAATGAAGAGGTGAGCAGTATTCTACTGAAGACAAGATGACTACAACCCCTGTGCGCCTCAGACTCCCTGTCCTGTGTCTGCCCGTGTGTTGGGGTGGTGGGCTGAGCTTCCAGCTTTCAGACCAGGCTGGGCACAGCCTCCTTGCCTTGGGCAGTGTAGCGCCATCATCTGAGGTTGGCATGCAGGAAATCTACATTTTTCCTAAGCACTGTGCAGGAGCTGGGGTGTCCAGGAGCCTCGCTCTGCTCCCTGGCTGCCTATGGTGCAGCGGCCCTGCCAGGTGCCTGTGCTGGGCACTGACGTGCTGGCCTGCTCTTGGCAGGCTATCCCTCCTCCATGGTCTGGGGTCACTAGGTCCACTGGTCACGACCAGCCCTGCCCCCTGGTGTCATGGACACAGTGAGGTGCAGCAGACAGGGAGAGTGGCAGCCGTCAGGCTCATGAGAGAGCAGCCCCGGGAGCCTGGTACCTGTGGGTGTGCAGGACACCCTGTCCGGCTGCAGTGCGTACCCCTCATGGCACCGGCAGACGCGCGTGTCCCCTGCGCGGTCACTGCAGTACTGCTCGCAGCCTCCATTCTCGTTGTCGCAGATCAGCTGGGTGCTCCTATCTAGGGACAGGGAGTGGGAGCTGAGAGGGGCCTGGAGGCAAGCATCCCATCTTGTCTGCAGCTGTGGGCAGGAGGCGGCCTCACTTGTCTCACAGTTCCGGCCACTGAAGCCCAGGAGGCAGAAGCAGATGTACAGCTGGAAGTGGTCCTCGCAGGTGCCCCCATTCTGGCAAGGATTTGAGGCACACTGGTCCCCGTCTGAGGGTGAGCTGGTATGAGTGTGCCAGGAGCAGGACTGGAGCGGGGGACCCCAAACGGCTGTGCATCTACTCACCAGTGTATGTAACCCAGAACTGGTTCTGAGGAGGAGAGAGAAGCCGCGTGAGACATATTCACCAAAGCCACAGTGACAGATGCATGGGAGAAGCTCACAGCTGGGGACAGCGAGGCCTGGCCTGGGCCTTCTCCAAGGGCTTGGGAGTCAGGTTTGCCCGGGAGAGTCCCTCCTCATGACATCTGAGGCCACCAGAGGCCATGAGCTTTCCTCAAGTCAGCTCCTAGCTCTGCCTCCTCCATCTGTGACCTGGGAAAGCCCCACAGGCTGGGCCCTCCGTCTCCCACTGGGTGATCATGCCCAAGCATGAGGCTGACAGAAGATGGGGTGGGACAGCCGTGAAAGTGTCCTACCACCTGCAAACTCCGCTGGAAATTGGCTCCTAAGGGAACTTTCCTCCAACTGGGGGTTCACTCACGCTACGATGAGAATAAAACAGGCAGGAATGTTGGAAGTGCTCTCAACACCAAATGGTATAAAAAAGAAAGGCATCCCCAGTTTGCCTGGAGAGTGTCATGCTCACCTCTAACTCAAACAGCCCACCTCTCAGTGAGTGTGAGGTGAGGTGTCTGGTGAGTGTGAGGTGACTTATGAGTGTGAGACCTCTTGCAGGTGTGAAAGCTTCCTCTGAGTGTGAGACCTTTCCTGACGGTGAGGCCCGCTGTGAGCGAGGTATGACATGAGTTGGAGCTGGTGAGAAAAAGCTTATGAAAAAAAAACAAAAAGCAAGGTCACAGGAAATCCCTCCCACTCACCCAGGAGCGGTTGGCACAAGATGGCAGAATCGTCCAGATCCCAAAGCCCTAGCTCTGCACTGTACGCCAAACCGTACTTCTGATGGAAATGGTTAAATGGAAAGGCAGATACTCAAGGATGCTTGGAATATTTATCTTTCCAATGTGAAACCAGAAGTGAAGACAACCCTAGGCCTTCCGCAAGGCCTGGCGTGGTGGGGAAGCCACGGTTTCCTCATGTTCGTCACGCACATGTCCTGAGGGCGGCCTGTGGGCTCAGCAGCAGGAGGGCGTGCGGGCGGCACCTCAGTGCATCTTTTCTCTCAGCAGCACTTTGGTGGTTGGGCTGTTTTGGATCCTTAGGGGCTGAGGGACTTTTCTCATAAAGTGGGATTTTTGAGTTTTCTGATGTAAAAATGAACATCAGAGAGTAGAGAGTAGGGGCGGTGTGTGCCTGGCAGTCACCCTCGGAAATGGGGAGCAGTGGGGAGCTTTGGAGAGGAGCGCAAAGCTGTCCTGAGGGGGAAGGAGTGGCCCTGACAGGAGGCTGCTCTGTGCTCCCCTGTGCTCATATAACAGGACTTAGGGTTCTACTTGGAAGTAAGGACGGCTGCCTAAGTGGAGTCTGCTGTCGCGACCTCCCAGGGTCCTTACAAAACATTTGCTGACTGCCCTTGGACTGTGGGGGACGTGACCAAGCAGACCGCTGGTCCAAGGTGCAGGGGCCCTGCATGGACCCTGTGTGACCATTGCGGAATTGGACCTGAAAAGTGTGGTGTCTTCTATGGGGTAGCGATCACGTTGCTTACACAAGGGCCTGAGCTCCTTTTAACTCCTTGGAAACCCTAGGCGGAGAGCCCTCATGGGACCTTACTCGAAATGCCCTCCCGGCTAGCGGGACCTTTACTTCCTCGCCCTCACCCTACCTCCTTTGCCCATGGTTTCAGTCTTTGTTGCCATGGGACACAAGCCCTGCATTCTTCGAATACTCAGAGTGCTCACAGTGAGGAGAAAGGAGACTGACTTGAGGTGCAGGCGCCCCCCCAGCCCGAGCTCGCCCTTTCCCACAGTCACTGCGCAGCCAGGAGGCACTCACCGTCTTCTCAGGGGTCCTGAGGATCTCCCGAGCCTCCTCAAACGAGCACTGCTCCTCCATGCACTCCCTCTCCAGGGAGCCAGGCCACAGCTCCTCCAGGAAGGAGTTGGCACGCCTCTGCCTGTGCAGGACCCCGTGCGCTTCCTCCTGGGTTATGAAGACTGACAAGCAGAAGACCCCGAGAAGCACTGGCAGGCTGCCACACCACAATGGTGCGGAACCACCCACCCACCCGGTCCTGTCCCCTTCCACAAGGGAAGCCACACCCCTGGATCATCTCAGGGGAGCCAGCCATACCAATTCTCATGGAAGCCCCTACGGGATCGTCCCACTTGGTGACAGAAGGAAGTGATCTACTCACACCGGTCTTCACTCAGTGTGCATGTTGGGGATGGGAGGGCCCAGGCCAGTTCACCAGCATCCTGCCCTGCCCTGTGGGCTGAGGGTGCTAGAAAAGGATGCCTGGCCGCTTCTCATGGGCGGCTGGTGACAGGTGACAGAACACAGCGTTATGCACATATGCAAGCATATACAGCTGATTTCAGACGTGCTAACCCTCCCTTTGGGGGATCTAGCATAAGGAAATACTCAGAGTCATGTACCAAACCCTGTGCAACTATTGGTAATAATAGTCAAAAATAACCAAATGTGGCATTCAGGCTGCCATTAACTATAATGCTCAAGAAGTTGTGAGCCGAGCAGGATGGCCACACCTGTGATCCCAGCACTCTGGAGGCTGATGCAGGAGGATTGCTGTGAGGTCAGGGCCAGCCTGAACTCCACAGCGAGACCCTGTTTCAACCCCATCCCCAAAAGAAGGTGTGATCTGGAGCAAAAAACTGATGATAAAAGAGGAAATGTTGTACATTCCCTTTCAAGAACACAAAGTGTATATATGAACCTATATAAACAGGTGTTACACAAGTGTCATATAAAAATCCAAATTCCTCATCTCCACCCCACCATGTACCCTGTCCCTGGGAATTCACTCCCTCCAGCCTCCCAAGATAGTCCGGGGGGTCCTTGTCAGCCCTGGGTGCCTGCCCAACCCCCAGCCCTCCCACACCCTTCTCCTCACAGTGACATGACAGTCAGGAGCAGGTGACCCGGGGCCCCATCCTGCTTAGGAGGGAAGTGAGGCTGGTGACCCTGAGAGCTCACCCCTTGCTGCCTGTGGTGGCATGACCCCAGCAGTGTGAACCCCCTGAACTTGCTGATTCTCCAGGCAGGACACCCCAGTAGACACATGCAGTGCCCAGGGAGAGCGCAGAGATGGAGACAGAGGTGGCGCCCATGAGAGCGCTCCGTGGCGGCTGTGCTGTGGGACTGGACACATGGCAGCCGTGTGGGAAGGGGCCTGGGAACAAGGCAGGCAGAAAGCAGCTGGCAGAGACCTGGGCTTCTTGAGGCCAGAGGAGGAGGAGGAGGAGCGCAAGGAGGAAGAGCTAAGGAGGGCTCATAGGGAAGGGGTGGCCTCAGATGGGCCCAAGGTGACTTTTGTCTCCAGGAACTGTTGGTGAGTGCAGTAGTGGTGGCCTGGGAACACGAGCAAGGCGACTGCTAAGCACAAGAGGAGGGAAAGGAGGCAGCTACCAGGCCCTGCCGGGCTAAGGAGTCCACGTCCCTCTTCCTTAAAATCGGAGTGCGTCCTCACCTGTCCGCATGCCTAGGGAATCCACCTGGGCTGGGAGGAGTTTGGGGACGAGAATCAAGGATCTGGGGCCGGGGGGCAGGAAGCCTCGCCTAGGGGGGCAGAGACCCCTGCGTCACACACCACACTACAGGAGCAGGTCACCGCGGGAGGCTGGTGCTTGGATGAACACAGACTGCATCCAAGGCGTCTCAGGCCAGAGCAAACTGGGTAACAAAGTGACCTCAAAGATAGAGGAGTTGGAAAGAGACTCAGGCAGGGTGAAGCCACCTGCCACCCCATGCTGCCGGGTTCCAGCAAGGCTCCCAGCTTTCGGCATGAGTCCTAGTTTTCTCCTGGCCACAGAGCCTCAGCTGGTTTTCCAAGGGCTGACCTGATGTGCCTGCTGCAGACTCTGCGAGCTCTGCTCTAAGCCACTTCCAGATTCTCCCTCATCACAGACAGGGACCGCAGGGAGTCCAGAAAGTGCCCCTGTTCCTCACAGCACCTCGAGCACTCACACGTGGGCTTGTCCTGTGTGTCTGTGTGCTCCCGTCTGCATATGGGCATCCGTGTATCTATTGCATGTGTACATGTGTCTGTGCATATATGCCTGGCAGTGTTTGTACTTGTTCTGTGTTCATGTGTACATATTGATATGTTCCAATATGTCTCCCTGAGTGCACATGTGGCTGTTCATACACGTTTCTGTGTCCATGTGCTCCTGTGTGCCCATGCGTGGGTGCATGTGAGTCCATGCGTGGGTACTTGCAAGCTCCCGGACAATATTTGTTTTGGAAGGAACAAACATCAAAGCAAGCAGTCAGCAAAAGCTGTGACGGAAATGTTGGAAACAAGAGTGTGGCTGGGGCCTGGACCCAGCTCGGGAGCTTGCTACAGACAGTGCCACAAGGCAGCCCCCCAGGAAGGACTTACCTGCAGCCAGGGGCTCCTGAAGCAGTAGCAGAAAGCACAGCAGGGCAAGCCCGCAGCCTGGGGAAGCCATGGGGAATTCGCTGTCCCGGCCGAGGATGGCCAGATGAAGCAGGCGTGCAAAGGGCAAGAGGGGCGGGCCAGGTAGGGTGGAGGCACCAGACACTGGCTGAGAGCTGAGCCTGACCACTCAGAGGCCGGCCCCTTGTGTCCAGCACCATGCATGACAGGGAGGAAGGAGGAAACTGCATGCGGGCAAAGTGTTGGTCCTTTGCAGAAAAGGGCACGTAGAGAGGAGCTTAGCCCAGGCCCAGCACACAGCCGGCATTCAGTGGACAGAGACAAGCGTGGGGAGACAGACGGCAGTGGGACCCTGCAGCCTGCAGAGAGGGCACCTGCCGGGCTAAGGAGTCCACGTCCCTCTTCTTTAAAATCAGAGCGCATCCTCCCCTGTCCGCATGCTTAGGGAATCCACCTGGGCTGGTGGCAAGGGCAGGGTGTCAGGCATGGACGGAGGAGGGTGGAGGCTCAGGGACACCCTGGCTGCTGAGCCCTGCGCTGCATGAGGCTTGGTTTCCTGGGAGCCAAGAGTCGACCTGTCCCAGCTGAGACAGCAGCCACCAGCCCCTGTCCCTTCTCTCTGGCCCAGGTCACAGGCCAGGGTCTCTGCCCACCTGGTCACCTGTGCGTCCTGAGAGCAGCTCTGTGCTCTGCCCATGCAGCGGGTCGGACAAGCCCTTCCCTCCTCAGAATTGTCACGCTGTACTTGAGCCTGTAGGGCCCATTTTCTCGTTCCACTAAAACTCTGCTGGGGCTTAAACTAAATCTTATCTAATTTACAGTAGAACGGGGGGGAGAAATGACCTTTTGCTGTTGTCGAATTATTCCAGCCATATATCTTTCTCCATTTACTTAGGCCCTCTTTTATGACCTCTAACAGTTCATAAGTTTGTCCACAAAACATATTTATTTCAGTACTGTTCACTTCGTTGCTGTTAACGTATCAGTGTGTAAAGCTGCCTATTGCTAGGAGTGTTGGGGACTTTTTGCAGGTTGCTCCTGAGCACTGGTCCGTTCCAGTGCCCAATAAGCCCCTGTGGGGTGCTTACGGGAAGACACTTCTCAGCCTTCCTCAGGGAAGTCGCTAGCAACCCCAGTAAGTGACTTAGAGAGGCAGAAGGCATTCCTGAGTTCTGCGTCCTTGAGGAGAGTCCTAAAGTGTCTCGGTGCTTACGATTTTTGGTGTGAGGATTTTGTTAGCTACACTTTTTCAGGTTAAGAAAGTATTCTGTTCTTGGCTAACATTGTCAGTGAAGGATCAGTGAAGATTGAGTTGTTTTTTTTGTATCAGCAGAACTGGTGCCTCACTTCTGTTAGTTTGTTAGAACATTATAGCAGCATGTTTCTGATACCATGCCACCCTCCTAATATGGGAAAAAAGAGGATTAAAATGTGCTACCTTTTTTTTTTTGGTGGTGCTGGGGATTAAACCCAGGCCCTTGCACATAGGAGGCAAGGGATCTCCCAGTGAGCTGCACCCCAGCCCATATTACTTTTACATAAAACATTCAGTTTGGCTTTTGGAATTTTTTTGCATTTATCTTCATAAATTTATTAATTCTTTTCTTCCACGAGCCTTGTCAGTTTTGGATACCAAAGTTAAACTTGATGCTATCGTTTAAAGCCAGATCGCCCTCACAAGCCTCACGAGCTCTGGGGTGGGCCTTTCAGAGGTGACTGGATCGTGGTGGCTCAGAGCTGGCTTGCTCTTAGGAGGAGGTGCCTGGGTGGAGGTGGAGGTCGGTGGGGATGTGGCCAGAGGGTGCATCTCCTTCCCGTTCCTCCCTTCCTGGTTTCTTTTTTTTTTTTTTTTCCCGGAACGGGGAATTGAACTCACGACCTTGCACTTGCCAGGCAGGTGCTGTGCCACTGAGCTAAATCCCCAGCCCCTCTCCCTTCTTCTCTGTCTGCTTCCTGGCTGCCACGACGTGAGCAGCTTTCCAGTGCTAGGCCTCGCTCTGTCCTGTTTCTTCCTGGGAGTCAATGAACCGTGGACTGAAGCTGTGGGCCAAGATAAGCCTCCCTCCTTCAATACGGGTGTTGGCATTGTGCCTTAGCAATGGGAAAGTGACTAAGACAGAGTTTGGTGCCAGGGAAGTGGAGTGGTTGCCATGATGTTGCCTGACCATGTGGTTCAGAAACCCTTGGAACTGGTTCATTCCAAGTGTTTAGAAAGGTTTGGAGATGCCAACTAGAGAAGCCCTAGAATATTATAAGCTGGGCTTGACAGGACATTCTTGTTGGAGCTCAAAAGACCAGAATGTGGATAGAAATGCAGATGGTAAAGACCAAGATCAGGAGGTTTCCATTGGGAACAAGGAGTGCTTTGCCAGTGGGACTCCAGGCCTTATGTATTTTTCTCTGGCAGAAAATTTGTCTACATTTTTCTCATGTCCTGAGACTTTGTAAGAGATTGAGATTAAGGGTGGTAGATGAATTAATCTGGTTGGAAAAATTTTAGAACAGTCCAGTGTTGTGGCATGCATACTGCTGGCAGCTTTTAGCCACATCTACCAAGAGGATCAGGACTAAAGAGCAGAGAAAACTAATTTGAAAAAATTTGCGGTGGCCAGAAAGGACATACCTATAATGTTGGGACTCATAAAGTTTTAGCCCAGAATAGCTTGGCTGCTGGAACAATTAGCATTAAAACGAAGCCAAATACTTTGGATTGAGACAACAGGAAAGACTCCTTGAGCACATATGAGGAATCAGCAAAACCTCACCCTTCCCGGGCTCCAAGGGTGCAAAACTGAAAGACTGTGCTTTGAGAAGATATTCCCAGAGCACCCTACTCAAAATGGACTACCTAATGAATTGGTTCCTCTGGATTTGAGTCAGGGTACTCAGCTATTCAAACACTCAGAGATCTCTGCAGCCATGACACAGAGGGGCCCACTGCGACTTGAGCTGTTTGCAGACTTTTGTGTCATTCATGTGGTGCTGATTTCATAGGCATGTGGAATGCAAGAGTTGTGAGCTGAGGGAGGCTTCCACCCAGATTTCAGGATCAGGCCTGGGAGGCCAGGAAGTGTTCCTGAGAGGGCAATGCATGAAGCTTTCAGTGTGAAGCTGAAAGTGCAACGGAGACCCCAGGAATCAGGGATGTTGGCTGAGGAGGGCCACAGACAGTGAGCAAACCACCTGAAAAGAGAAGCCACAAGCGCTACAACTTGCAATGTAATAGGAATGAGGCCATCCAAGCCTTTTGGATCTCACATTTCCCAAGGTAATGGACATGCAGCTAACTACATGGTTTAATGTTTGCCCTGATGGGTTTTTGTTTTGCTTTTATCCCATTGGTTTCCATCCCCCTATTCCTCCCATTTGGAAAGAGAAAGTTTACCTTGTGCTGCTGTATGTCAGCAACGTTTAACTTTCTTTTTTATTTTACAAGGGCTCACAGCTATGAGTTTGCTTTGAATCTCATAGGAGACTTTGGACTTTTCAACACTCCTAAAACTGGCAAGATTTTGGTGACTCTTAGAAGCCCCCACCTATGAGTGCATGAAGCCTTCGGGGGATATCTAGATAGAAACCAACATTTGATCCATGGCCTACAGAAGACGTATGCACATCTCTTTATGCAAATGTTGTGAAGTTCCTTGGTTTTCTGTAAGTTGGCCAATTTTACCAGATTTTTCAAGGAACAAGGTTTTGTTTTTGATTGATTTGGTTTTTACTTTCAATGGTAGTAATTCCTTCTTTATACTTTGAGTTTTAAATGAGTAACTCTTTAATGTGATCATGTAAAAATTAGACAAAGTCAGCTGTAAATGTGAGTCTCAGCCACGTGGTAGCTGCAGCTGTCATGTGGTCTCAGGTCGACATCTGTCCAACTCTGGAAGCAGAACCCCAGTAGCATTGCCATCCTAACCCAGGGCTCAGAAACATGCTTCTAGATTCCCAAACACATTTTTCATCATTTTGTAAACATTCTGTGTGTGTTTCATGTGTGCTGGAAAATGGTACATTGTTTTCTATTTTTAAGGACAAACAGGTGCCAGTTTCCATGAGAAATGAAAACATCTCGCCCTGACTGCTGAAGCTTGCCTTCTGCATTGTGAACCTTACTACTGGTTGCTTACAAGTTTGTGACTGCCATGCAGTTCTTGCCCTCTAACTGCCTAAGTGCCACTTTATGAGTTATTAGTACTGCTGGGCCATCTTTCCTTGGCTGGTGTTTGTCTAGTCCTTTTACTTCCTTTCCATGCTTTGCCTAGTTTTGTTTCAGGTCTCCTTTGGCAGGTGTTTTCTGTCTCAGTGCTCGTCCGGTCGGTCAGCTCACTGTACCGCTGAACACATCAGTCACCCTGCTGTGGCCAGACAGGTCTGCACTCATTTCACTACATTTCTGGTTTTCCCCTCCCTCCATCCTTTCTGTCTTCCCCAGATCAAAAAACCTTCTTTCCTCCTCCAACTTTCTGGTCAGAAGTGGTCAAGTGCATTATTCTGCAATGGTTCTCCTATATTTCTTTGGCTGTCTTTGTATTTCTGACGTGTATAACTTTGTACTATTTTATTATCACCACCATCGGAGAAAACCAAAGCATGTGAAACGCTTGCTGGTTGTGCCCTCCCTGGGCCCCTCAGCACTGTCTCTGTCCTGGTTTAGTTTGAACAGAGATTCCCCATTCAATGACCTATGCAATGACTGGATTTATGACCGAGGCGCACTCTTCAGACTTACAACCGGTGCTTGGATTTACGGCCCATCTTTTTTCCTGTGGTTCCGCACGTCTTGTTTATAAAGCCTCAGTGTCTTTTTCTGTATATACACCACTATTATCTCTGCTGATTGCACAGTGCAGTGCATGTACTGTTGTTATGTGTGTTGTTATCCACTGCAGCACTGCATGTAAGAGTTCTGCAAATAAAAGCAAAGTCATCAGGTTGAGGTTAACTTTGACTATTTCTTCGTTCTGAATGTTATAGGCACACACTATGTACAACTCCTCATTTATCAACCAATTCATTTAATAACTTAGCTGAAGGAAGGGAGCTCGGGTCTTTTTTTTTTCCAGTACCAGGAATCGAACTCACAACCTTGTGCTTGCCAGACAGGTGCGGTACCACCGAGCTATATTCCCAGCCTCAACGGAGCTTCGGTCTTTACTGGGGACTGTCTTTACTCGCCATACCAGGTACTGGAACCATCCAAGGGGGTGCGGAGCCGGAGCCCAGCTCCCGTCAGAGAAGCAGACAGCAGGAGGTGCTGACATTTATTCAAACTTTGTCCATACAGTAAGACCATTGATTTTTAAGTTTCATTTACATCAGCAGTAAAAACAAAAGTAACAGTGAACGAAATGTGACATTGTAAAGTGCCATTACGAGGAAGAGACCACAGAGGGCAGGCTCCTGCTGAGATGGGAGGAGCTCGGCCTGAACAACAGACAGGGGCAGCTATGTCCCACATCGCTCTCCAAATCTGTGTTCACTGGAAAAGCCACCGAGTGTCCACGCGTCTTCTGTCGGCTGCGAGTCTCTGGGGTCTGGCAGCGACGGCTCTGCACCGTGGGAGGCAGGGCGCGAGGCCTTGACCACAGTGGGGTGGCGCCACAGGGTGAGGGCGCAGGGAGAGGGCCGTAAAGTGACACTGCTCAGCAGCTTGAGACATAAATACGTCCTTTACATCAGAGCATATGTACACACGTGCACATATATACACACATACAAAAATATCTGCCTCGCTGGGCACTGAAAGTGATTCAAAAGAAGAGAATTGGCTTCTGAGACACACAGAAAAGGAGAAAAATAGAAGAGCTTTCACCCGGCTCTGCCGCGACTTGGATAACGGAGAAGCCCCATGTCCAGGTCCACCCTGGCGACTCTGACCAGCACCTGGCACGCAGACTTCCTGCAAGGCGGCCGCAGGGGCACAGGGAAGGGCGCGGAGGTCCTGCCTGCCCCTGGGGAGGCCAGGTGAGGATGCAGTGAACGCTCATATCCCAAGTGCAGCTGACAGTGTTGGGCCACAGAGACCCTGCAGAAATTGCATCTTTACATTTTTCTTTAAAAACAATAAAAATATCCTGACTCAGTGAAGCTCTTTAAAAAAATTAATTCCCCCCTTTTTGTAGAAAAGAAGGTCAATACTTTAAATTATAGCTTAAGTTTTCCTGTGAAAATGAAACAAATGCAGGTGAAAGAACTTCCTTGGTCTCTTGCTGCCTTTGGGTCTAGAGCTGCCACCCGACTTTACCAGGGGCTGTGTCCCGTCACCTGCAGCAGGAGCACCTTGCGAGTGTAGAATGAAAGGCCCCCAAACCATTCAGTGGTATAAACAACATGCTTTGATGTAAGCCCCAGTAACAAAAAATAGTTTTATATCAAATACAGTATCAAATTGTCATTTCATGTAAACACAGTGATTCTTGGTAAAGGTCTGAGGCCAAAGTACCACCAAAAATGGCCATGAGATTATCCCTATTAAAAAAAAATCAAACCCTATAAAAGTCGAGAGTCCCAAGTCACTCTGCAGGCTTGGTAGGCTGCAGGCTTCCACAGGAGGCGGCTCCTGTGGGTGACACCTGTGGAAGCTGGCTGGAGAGGTTGGGTGCAGGACGGCTGCTCAGTGAGGGCCCTGCGTGCTGAGGACTCTCCGCAGACGGCTGGGTCAGCGCCAATGTCTGCGTGTCGCACTGCAGCCGCGGCTGATGGGGCCTTCCTTGCTGGATCCTGCAGCACTGCCTCTCCCCAGACTAAGCAACCCAAGCAAGAGAAAACCTAGAGACCATGCTGGCCCACAGGCCTCAGCATCCCGCCAGGCCTGGCCCTGTGCCTGGAGGTCGCTATGCCTGGAGGTCGAAGGGCGCGGGGCAGCCCTCGCTGCAGCTTGAGGAGTTGCTCAGCACGGCAGACCCTGGGCTGGACTCTGCGGAAGCAGGTGGAGACGTGGCTGCAGCCTGGCTCTTGGCTCTGGCACCCAGCGCCCTCGTCTTCTGCGGGCCGAGGGCCGAGGGCCAAGGGCCGAGGGCGCAGGCAGGATCAGCACGCACCGCAGGTCTTACCTGAGCTGCTCAGACACTGGGCCGAGTTGGACTTGCCCAGGAGCACGCACAGGCTGCTGGCCGGCACCCAGCCCTCCTTGCTGCTGGTCAGGTCCCGAACATACCTGCGAGGGGTCAGCAGCTACAGCGGGCAGAGCACACTGGTGTGTGCGTTGTGCGGGTGTGCAGGAGGGAGTGTGAGTGTGCGTGAGGCCTGTGGGGTGACTGTGAGCTTGTGGTTGAGTCTGAGGTGTGTGGGCATGTTTGAGGTGCGTGTGAGGCATATCTGATGTGTATGTGGGTGTGTCGGAGGCATGGGTGTGTGGACACGTCTAAGGTGCGAATATGGCATGTGGGGGGCAGCAGCCTGCATGCTATCTTACCAGAGCCCCTCGGCGCCCTCCTCCACCACCTCCACCACGTCCCCACTCCTCACGTGGAGGGTGTTGGGCTCCCCCTTCTCCTCGTCCATCATGACTGTATATTTACCAGGGACCTAGGCAGGGCGCAGGACAAAGGCAGGGGTCAGCTGGTCAGCACAGCTGTCCCTCAGCACCCAGGCAGGCTGCACACACCTGTCCCACCCACACACAGGGCACCAGCTGCAACTCCGTGAAAATGTCTATACAGGGTGGACTTGAGACTGCAGTGAGGCCATGTGTGGGGATTACCAGCTGACACTAGACAGTCCTTGGCTTAGAGTCCCACAACTGTGCTACCAAAAAAGCCAGATGGCAACATGACCCCCGTACCGTGTCCTCATGGTCCAGCCACGCCAGACTCTCCGGTCTGCAAACACAGCCCCACCCGGGACCTCTGTGCGTGTCCCTCCTCCTGCAGCACTCCCTGCTGCAGGTCTAGTTTAGTGGCCACACGTCCGAGACGGTGCCAGGCCCCTTCCCCGGCTGGCCTCTCCCTGGCTGCATCTGCTCTCGTGGTGGCTGGCCACCCTGACCTAGCGTGTTACGATTGACCATTTCTTTGTGCCCGCCCCTCTGTGAGAGGAGGTTCTGTCTATGCTGTTCTGCTTTATCACCAGTGCCAGAGCAGGGCCCAGCTGGGGGCAGAATCCAGAAGTAGACACTCCAACCTCACAGGGTGGCTGTGAGCACGCAGCTGAGCGGGACAGGGCAGCCCTTCAGGTGGGTGACTTGCATGGCTCCCACTGGGCTCCACCCACTCCTGCCACCCCAGTGCAGCCAGGACCCTCCTGCCCCTGCCCACTGGCCTCCCCTGCTGCGCTGCCCCAGGCGTGTCCAGGCCACTCTGCCCTCCTGAACAGGGGATGCTTTGCTGGTCGTGGGAGCCCAGGGCTTACACCAGGCCCCACACGGAGTGTGCAGAAATGATTTGCCAGTGTAATCCTAACTCTGCTGCTCTCACACACAAAGGCTTCCACCTGCTCCACTGATAAAAGTGAGACCTCATTTCCACGCAAAACGCACTGGGTTAAGCCTTTTCAGTTCCTTAAGGAGTGAGGTGGAATGAGAAACCACTTTGAAGATATCAATATGTAATACAATGAGCATTGTTAATTTCCTACCACTTTGTAACTCTGTATTGTCTGTACTGTTCTTTTGCTATTTTATAAAAGGTTGTCTGTCTGTTAATGTTTTCCTCCTTTTATTTAAAAAAAAAAAGAAGCGAGGTTAGCCAAGCGCGGTGAGCACTTCCTGTTGATGTGGGTGGTGGGGGTGTGGGCTGGCCCTGCAGAATGTGCTGGGCTCTAACATGGACACTTACCCAAGGAACACTGCTCATCTGCCAGGAGCCAAGCCACACTTGGAGACCCAGGCCAAGGGGACCTTCCCAACATCCCCTCCCCAGGAGCAGTGCTCCAGCCACCCATGGGGAGCAGTTACCAGCTTCTTGGGGCCCCCTCCACCGTCTTCCTCGGCGTCGGACGAGTTGATGGGCTCCTCTGCACTGGACCAGCCACCATCATCCTCGGGGGCCTCCAGGGACTGGGACGTTTTGCTCCAGCCTAGCAGGGGGACAGGTGCCAGTGAGGGATCCCAGGGACAGAGCCACCATGTGGGGGAGCACCTGCCAGCCCCCCAGACCCTAGACCAAGCTGAAGCTTCAGGTGCCAGCCCTGGTCCTTGCCAGGCTCCCCAATCCTGGCGCTCTGCACCCTTCCAAGATACCAGTGCACAGTTCTGCCCTGACTGGGAAATCTCAGGGAGGCAGGGGCTCAGAGTCCTTGCTTCCCCCTGGCCAGTTCCTGGGGACAGTGGGCCCCAGGGCCTTCCTGGAGAGCTGGGCCCTCTCTGGTCAGACCACTGTCCCCACAATGCCACCATCTGTCTGTGCCCTGTGGTACATGCTGCAGAGGGAAGGTATTTTCCACGAACGCTATGCTGCCGGCATCTACCAGTTTCTAGCAAAATCAGCCAAGCGAGTCCCAGCCGCAAGCCCAGGGCAGCCCAGGCAGAGGCGCCAAACTACAACAGAGCAAAGCCCAACCACTAGGTCGGCTCAGGGGACCCCATCCCTGTGGTCACACGGCCTGCAGGCAGCAGCAAAGGCAGGAAACCCCCAGGGCACCCGTCTTGGGGAGATGTGGTGCTATGGCCACAAGGGCTGCGGCCATGATGGTCACCCCCACGGCTCTCAGCGATGTGTCAACAAGACCATGCATGTCAGGGAGTGGGAGACCCAGGCACCCCCAGCTCCACAGTCCAGCTGTGCAGCAAATGACAGAAAGGCACTGAGCCTTGGAGAGCAGCTGCAGAAGGTGCCATCCACCAGCTGAGAGAGCTGTGCTGAGGACTGCAGGAAGTGTCCCTTGTCACCCTAGGACAGGGCACCGCTCCACGCCGGGTCCACACAGCTGAGGCTCCCCAGGGTGCACTGTGGGGCAGGGAGAGCTGTACACGGGGCCTGCCTGCCAGATCACCCCGGGGCTCCAGCTGCAGGGACTGTGCGTGCATGCCTAGTGGCTGACACGGCATGGGGAGGATGGAGCTGGTTCAGACCTGACAGCTACCCACTACACAGCCCTTAAGGGCTGCGCAGACAGGGTGGACAGGCGCAGCACCCTCAGCCCCCATGCGTGTGCGCCTGTGAGCAGGTGCTCACTGCCGGGGCTTGGCCGGGAGGCTCGGAAGCCCTGCACGGCACCTGCTCTGGCATGGAACGTGCAGAGAGTGGGTGCCACACACATGCTGAGACCCGATGGCCTGGGGTGCGGTGCTGCAGGGGTCAGCTCCCTGCTTGGCACACCTGGGAGTCCACTGGCCCCAAGGCACCTACGAATCTGGTCACCCCTGTTTCTATGAAACTGCCCCAACATGGTCCCTGCAGCGCAACACCCTGGGGGTGCTGGGAAGTGGGTTCCTGTCCACCCAGACTGACGCGGGTGGGAGTGAGGACGCGTCATCTGCAAGCGTCGCTGCAGTTCTGCAAGCGTCTTCTCCACTCACTGTGGGGCAGCAGGCACCGGCCAAGAGGAAACTGCCCACTGGGGCAAGGCAGAGGGAGTGCAGCCCCAGCCAGCTGCCAGGTCAGCCCTGCTGGCCAGACTGTGCCCCACAGTCCCACAGGGCCGCCAGTGGGGACGGCTCAGGGCTCAGGGCATGGGGAGAAAGTGCTGAGGGACAGAACAGACCCTGCTGGGCAGCTGCCACTGGGTAAACAACCCTGCCTAGCACTTGGTCAGGGCAGCACAGGCTGGGAGCGCAGGGGCAACATTGGCCTCAGGTCCATGCACAGCGATGGCAGGAGGGCAGCGGCGGGAGCTCAGGCTCTGGAGGGGTGCGAGGCACAAAGCCCTGGAGCTGGCAGCATGATGCCCTCTGGGGCATGGTCAGCTTGCACCCCAGAACCTGTGCAAGCTCTATAGCACAAATGCGTCCATGCTGTGCACCCCGCCCTGGCCCTGGCTGCTCAGCCAAGGGGGCTTAGAACATGGGCAGCTGGTGGCCCACTTGGCTCCCCTATTCAGGGAGCATGGCCTGTTCCCATGGCTGTGTCCCCCCGAAGGCTGGGCTAGCTGCTGATGTAGGGAAGGCGCTGGTGCAGTGTGGGTCCTGCTCTGCAGCCACAAGGG